CTGGGGAACCAAATGGGGAGAAAACGGATTCTTCAAGATTCGTCGTGGAGTCAATGAATGTGGAATTGAAAATAACGTCGTCGCCGGAAAAGCCGACGTGGATACTTTGTGAAATCGTTATGTGATTTCGAGTAATAAATGAACGTTTAAACTAAAAATTTGTTTTCAAGTAATTCTTATCAGACTGGAATCATTGATTTTCTGAATTCCCGAGTTTTCTGAATTTTGCGGTATCTCGTTTTTTGAAACTTCAAAAAAAAAGGAAAAGCCAAAGTGGACACTTTGTGAAATCATTGAAATCTTACATTCATTTTCATCAACGAACATTTTAATAAGTTTTTTTTCAAATCAAAGTATTTTGTGTACTTTATTGATCATTATTTATTTTTTTGTTAATTTTTTAGTAGAGAAATAGAAAAAAAATCCGAAACACAGAAAATCATGTCATTTGAATTCCTTGAACTGAAACAGCACTTGTCTTATTTTTCACTGGCGTTTTGGCTTTTTTGGTGACTCCACACATTGTTCGAATTGTATTCCTGTACTGACTGGACATGAAAACACAAAAAATCGGATGTAAAATTGAATTAACTGTCACCAGAAGTGTGAAATAGATTACAAAGTCTGTTGAGAGAATGCTGAAAATTAATTAGGTAAATTAATAATTTTCAAATAAAAATTTGAAGTCCTACCTGATTGGATCGTTTCTCCTGTAAAACACTTTCACCAAATAAATAACTCCGAGCGGAGCTTCAGTTAGAAAGAATGTAAAAGATAGAAAAACGATCAATTTTGTAGTCAAGTCCTTCTTTCTTCAGTTGATTCCTGATTTTTTCTTCCAGTGTTATTTACAGAAGGTTTCAATTTTTGAAGAAATCGGACCAAAAGAATTGTGAGGACAGAGAAGGCGATACCTGGAAGGAACTGAAATTTTTGGATCTACGAGTTTCGAAGTTTCCGAACTTTAAAATTCGAATTGATTCCAAATTGATCTTTAAAAATTTGAATTTGTGAATCATAACGTTTCCTGATTAACTTAATAAAGCCAAAAGTTTCTGCCTGATCTTATTTCTGATTTTCTTCAATTTTTCGCAGAATAACTATTCTAAAATATCATTTCATCAAATAGGATTCAATTATATATCTAGCAAATCATATTTCCCTCCTCGAAAGTTCAAGAATTGAAGAGGAAGTGACGAAATTTTTGATTGCTTATACTAAATCACGAGCTTGTTGTTTTCACTCAATTTCAGTTATAAACAAGGTTAAAATATCTAGGAAAACACATTTTACATGACTCAACAACTATTCTTTACCTTTGTCAATATCGCATCTACCATCAGATATGATTTCATCACAATCTGTTCATCAGATGTGAAAAATGGAGAGAGCATCACAGAAAATTGTGGACTACTGTAGATGTTCTGAAAGTCTGCGTAGCTGAAATTATTGATTTTTTTCAGTTTAAAAGTTCCAAAAACTACATAAGTGGCAGTGGCACGAATCGATTTTCCACAACAATCCATCTAGATTGATAG